GCACTCACACGCAGTAGAGGATGAGGCCCAGGAACACGAACACGTAGTTGCTCTGGTAGTACTCCACATTGCGGACCAGGCGCTGGCAGAGCTCGCCCAGGTTGCGGGGCCGTGAGAAGCGCTGCTGATCCACGAAGGTCCCCCAGGGCCGGATGGTCGCTCGGCGCCGCTCCAGCCACTCACGGCCTGCGCCGGATGGAATCAGCTTCGGCAGCAGGGTCCTGGTGGGTGGGGCTGGTCAGCGGCGGACCAGGACGGAGGCCCAGACCCCGGGGGAGAAGGGGGATGACAGGGCCGCACTCTGGGGCCCTGGTGGAGGGGCTTCCGGGAGAGGGCCAACATTCCTGGATCCCAGGGCAGAAAGGGGCTGGGGCCCAGACTCCGGGTCCCAGAAGAGGGGAACTAGGGTTTGGGCTTGTCTAGGGGCGGGGACCCCAGGAACTCGAGGAAGGAGGGGCCGGGACTCCCGCGACAGGGGTAAAGGGCCAGAGCCGGCTCGCTCACGTGGCGCTCAGCCCTTCCGCCTCGCCATCCTTCTGCTGGTCCTTCTGGGCCGCCATGTCTGTGTTGTGAGGGGGCAGACCCGCTGCAGCGAGCCCCGAGCCCTGCAGACCCGGCCGGTCCCGCCCGAGCTCGGCCTCACCCAGCGGGACCGACGTGGCGCCGCTGCGGAACCGCTGGGGGCGGTAGTTCTGCCGCCGAGCGCTATGGGAGTTGTGGTCTCAGAAAGCATCGGTGAGCGTCTCAGGGCATTGTGGGAGTTGTAGTTTCAGGAGCTGGCTGCAGAGCCGGGGCTAGTGGGCTCAGAAGTGAGGGAGTGGTAGGAGCTCTAAGGCAGAAGGCCTGTGTACCCTTCCGGGGAAGGTACACTGGGGACTGCGGAGCTGTCGTTCTGACTCCAGAGAATATAAAAAACACCCGGAGAGTGTAATAAAACAGACACGTGTTCTGATTTAGCAAGTCTGGGGCAGAGCCCCTAATTTGTATATCTGGTGTCCCTGGGCCGTATTTTCAGTAGCAAAATTGTAGAGAACTTGCAGGAATCGATTCCTTCCATCCTCAAGAGGCAGAAGCAAATGAGGGGGCCATAGTTGCCGGAGGGGTATCAGGTGGAGAGCAAGGCCCCCTGCCCGGATCTTGGACTCTCAGGAATGACTAGGAACACCACACACATACGCACACCCCTTTGGATAAGAGGAAGGGAAGATGGGAAAGTGAAAAAGTTGAGTTTTGTTTCTGGTTTCTTTATTCCATGAATCAAAGAGACAGAGACTGGGAGAGCACCCCAACAGGACCTGCATGGCTACTACCCACCCTAGCTGCAGCCAGCTGGAATCATGGGCACACATGTGCCTGGTATGTTCAGGGAGGGCTTCAAATGGGAACCTGGAATCTTCCCACGTGGATCAGCCTCACAGAGACTTGTGCTACTGCTGTGCAACCATCCAGCCCCCCTGGATGGTTTTGTTTTGGTTGTTTTGTTTTGTTTTGTTTTTCTATAGGGCACACGCACTTGCTGGAGAGACAGAAAGCAAGAAATCACCCCCTTGGGGGATGGCCATGCTGCAATCCCTTCTCCATTCTCCATGTGGGTGCGCACACACACATGCCCAGTATAAGTTTTAAGCCACTGGACCTGGGACTTGAACCGCAGTCAACTATATGGGAGTCCAGCGACATAACCATTATGCCATCTGCTGTTCTCCCTCCCCCCCTTTTTAAAGCTTTTTGCCATAGGGCATGTGCACTTGCTGGAAAGAAACAAAGACAGTGAGAGGAAAAGAGAGAAATCATACCTTGGGGGGATTGTCATGCTGCGATCCCTTCTCCTGGAATTTTGGGCATGTGCACACACATACCCGGTGTGGTTTTTCAAGCCACTGGATCTGGGACTTGAACTGCTGTTGGCCATGTGGGAGTCCAGTGCCTTACCCACTACATCACCTGCTGGCCACCCCCTGGAATAGTTTAAAAAGGAACTGTCACACCTAGAAGAGCTTGAACTCACTTGGGAGAACCTGGACCTTTTGCCCTGGTCCCCTCCTCAAATCTCTGTCTTCACCAGGATGGTGGGACCCTGCTGGGACCACACCAGGTCATGACGAGTCAGTTACATGGTCTGTGTAAAGTGCTTGAAAGAGTCTAGACGCTTTATAATTGCTCAGTGGTGGTAGCCGTTATTGCCACGGCTGTATTATGAATGCTATCACCATAAATTCTGGTGGTTGGCCTCGTCCAGTTTAACCGACATGTTAGGGCTGCTGCCCCCTGGATGTGCCAAGGTGGCTGGGAGCCATGGCATAGGCTTTTCCTTTCCTGGCTCCACAGTCATGGTTCTTTCTTGGACTTCACCCACATTCCTCGGTGATGTGCCCCAGCCCTGAGTGCACAGTGAGCAGACGGCTGGGGTTCTAATCGGGATGCCAAAACGGGGCTTCAAGAGCTGTGTGTGGAAGTGTCAGGAAGTCCGGGCCCCTTTATGTGGACTGAGTTCCGTATGTGCTAAGCTGGTTGGAGCTGTAAGGAGAATATCCACGTGGATATCCAGGTGACTTTTTTTTTTTTCTCATTTTTAGATTTTTTTTGCCACAAGGTATGTGTGGTCACTTGGAGCGAGACAGAGACAGAGAGAGGGAAAATGAGAAATCACCCCCAGGAGTGATGGCCATGCCACAATCCCTTCTCCATTCTCGTCTTAGGATTTTGGGCACGCATGTGATTTTCAAGCTGCCGAGTCGGACTCAAACAGGGTGTTCGTTAGGCCAGCTGGGAGTCCAGTGCCTTAACTGCTACACCACCTGCTGGGCCCTCCAGGTAACTCTTTCAGCCCCAACCCTTTTTCTTTTCTTTTTTTAAATGTTGCCAGAGGACACATGTGTTTTCTAAAGAGAGACATAGAGCCACAGGGAAAGTGAGGTAGCACCCCCACGGCGGACAGCCATGCCACAATCCTTTCTCTTGCATCTCTCCTTCCAGGATTTTGGGTATGCACTTAGGTGTGTCCAGTGTGATTTTCAAGCCGCCAGGTCTGAGACTCAAACCATGAAGTTTGGCCAAATGGTATCTGGCTGCCTCAACCACCAAGCCACCGAATGCTCCCTCTTTTAAAAGTTTCTGCCAGAGCGCTGTGGACTTACCAAAGAGAGAAAGAGAAAGGGAGAGGGAAAAGGCACCTCCGCGACGGGGCATGGCCATGCCACACTCCTTTCTCTTCCATTTCTTCATCCTGCCAGGATCTGGGGCGTGCACACACACATGCCCGATGTGTTTTTGAAGCTTCCAGGGCCAGGGTTCAAACTATACAATTGACTATGTAGGATCTGGCTCTTTTTTAAAAAAAATTATTAATTCAATTCCATTTGTTACCGTTATTATTATTTTATTTTACTTATTTATTTTTTTGAGAGGTTTTTGCTATAGGGCATGTGCACTCGCCAGACAGACAGAGAGACAGAGAGACAGAAAGTGAGAAATCACCCCCCAGGGGGGATGGTCACTTCGCAATCCCTTCTGGGCACACACGAATATGCGCTCAGCATGAGTTTAAGCCACTAGGTCTGGGACTTGAACTGCGGTCAGCTACATGGGAGTCCAGTGACATAGCCATTACACCAACTGCTGATCCCTGTTATTGTTTTGTTATTATTATTTGACACCACAGAGACAGAGAGAGTGAAAGGGAAAGCAAGAAAGCAAGCTGCTAGGTCTGGGACTTGAACCGCAGTCGGTCATGTGGAATCCAGCACACTTAACCACCACCTCACCTGCCGGTCCCATGGTTCTGACTCTCTTAAACACCAAGCCACAGGACTGTCTCATGGCCTCAACTCTTGTCTTCTAAAGAGTTGCATCCCTTTAGGGTTTGTGCTTTGAGGCCTGCTGGAAGTCACTCCCAGGAGGTGGGGAAAGGTGGCCCTTGCCAAAAGGGCTGGCGAGCCCATAAGTAGCCTTGGGGAGTCCCAGACTGGAGAGGAAAGAGCTACAAGTTGAAGGTCAGATTAACTGGTGTTACAGTTTGTCCCCCAAAGTTGCAGGTCCTAGAACTTAGTGTTGGGAGATGGTGGAGCCCAGAGGGATCCTCGCTGGATGATGGTAGCTGCATCGTGAAGGCATCTCTTGGGAACAGATGAGTGATGTCTCTACACCCAGAGAGTTCCAGCTCTCAGAAGGGTTTAGTTCTCATGAGATCTGGTTGTTGTAAAAGAGAGCTACCGGGCCAACAGGTGGTGTGGTTAAGGTGCTGGACACTCCCACGTGGCTGACCACGGTTCAAGTCCCAGACCTGGTGGCTTGCTTTCTCACTTTCCTCTCTCTCGCCCTCTCTCTGTGTCTCTCTATGGTCAAATTAAAAATGAATGAATAAATACAATTTAAAAATTCTTTAAAAAATAAGAGAGCTACCCAGGGGCCAGCAGTGGCATGGAGGTGAAGGCTCTGGATTCCGCATGGCTGACTGCATCCTTGAGTTCTGGACCCAAGAGCAGAATGGAAGGAAAGGGGAACCAGCAGTTAGCACAATGGCTATGTCGCTGGACTCCCATAGTAGTCGACCATGCGGTTCGCATCCCGGACCCGGTGGCTTAAAACTCACGCCGGGCACGTGTGTGTGCGTGCCCAAGATCCCGAGAGGAGAATGGAGGAGAAGGGATTGCGGCGTGACCATCCCCCCTGGAGGGTGATTTCTCGCTTTCTGTCTCTGTCTCTCTCTGTCTGTCTGGCGAGTGCACGTGCCCTGTAGCGAAAATCTCTCCAAAAGAAAAAAAAATAATAATAATAAAGGGAGAGCTGCCCAAAGCTTGCTCTGTGACAGGCACCTACTGCCCTCTGTGGGTCTGTGGCCATGCTGGAGGCTGGCCTGATGCCAGGCCCAGGCTGTTGGACTTTGCGGCTGCCATGACTGTGAGTCAGCAAAGCTCTATTTCTTTATAAATCGCCAAGGCTCTGGTGTGTCTGTTAGCAAGTCACACAGTTATTGTCACTTCCCCTTGTCGCCCTTAGGCTGGTAGGGGAGTCTTGTTCAGGTTTTCCAATTTAGGTCCAACTTTGCCTCAGAAAACCACAGCGGCTCTGTGGGTGCACAGCCCAGAGCGTTCCTGGGGGAGCCGGAGTCCCTGGTGCTGCGGCGGCAGAGGTAGTCAGTGGGAGCGGGAGCCCCATGAGGGGGTGACTCTCGGGGAGCAGCGTGGGAGACAAAGGTCCTGCTGCCTCTTTGATGGCCGAATTTGGAAAATCTGGGTTTGACTTTTTACTTAGTTTTATTTCTTCCATGAGAGAGAGAGGGAGGGAGGGAGGCCTTGATGCTGGGATCCACCCCCAGCCGCAGCCAGACCTGGACCGTGGGCCTGCGTGTGCCCGGTGTACTTAGGCAAGTGTCTGGACGTGAATCTAGAACCTTCCCATGTGGGTCAGCCTCACAGAGTGTCAGATTTAGCCCTGTGCCACCCTCTGGCCCCCAGGGTTTGGTTATGAGAGCTATTGGATTTCTTTTTTAAAAACACTATTTCTAGGGACCAGCAGGTGGTGTGGTGGTTAAAGACACTGGACTCCTACATAGTCAACTGCGGTTTGGGTCCCGCACCTGGTGGCTTGCTTTCTCTCTCTCTCTTTCTCTAGTGAGCACACACGACCTATACCAAATAATAATAATAATTAAAATTAAGTAAATCTTTTTTTCTTAAATAATTA